CACATATATTTTGTACAGGAATCAAACTTAGAACCTTGCAATTGCAAGGCAGGTGCCACTGAGCTAAATCCCCAGCCTTCAGATATATTTTGAGGTATAGCATTCAAAATGCTGGAAAAGGAATGCATTTGATACCTACACCCACCATTCAGCTTAAGAATTTAAGTATTGCCAAGGTGGTTCAAGCCCCATATGTGTCTTAATTCATGACAACTCCCCACCACCCCCAGAGTCCTTCGCAGCAGCCTCCTTAAGATGATTCCCAATTCCAGCCGCTGAACTCAGCAGCAACTCCCAAGCCTGCCACTGAGATCAGGCACACGGCCCTTAGCTCATGAGGCATTCAGGTTTTTTAGGTGACCAAGCTTTTGAGCATCTCCATCTTGGGCAAAGTAGCTCAGGTAAGGGAGCCGAGATACATGCAGATAATACAGAAGCCAGCGCTGCCTTTGCACATCTTTTGCAGGCCTATGTGTTCCTTGGTCCATTCTCCTCTCTGTCGTCCAGCCTCTTGGCTCAGCTCAGACATCATCCGCCTCTAGGAAGTTGCCCCTCTGTAACTCTCACCCCTACCCTTGGCTGCTCTTCTTTTGACTCTCTACACATCCTCTGTCATCACTTTCACAGTTATCTGTCACTGTGAGATAATTTCTTTGTCTTTTCCATAAGTTATTCGTGCTTTGAACGCAGGTGTCTTATTTATGTCGCCACCTCCAGAACCACACTGGCTGCCAGAAGAATGAAGTGAAGGGCACACTTTTACCCACTTTGAAATCTCAGAATGAGGCTCAGCAACATAATAGATATTTGGATCTGTTCAAATGTTCTTGTGTGGAAATAATGATCCATCAGATGAGATACTGTTTTCTCTCAAGAGAGTCAATTAACCTGAGAACCATATGCCCTTGCATTTTCTCCTTCATACTTTGTGCCTTACTGTACCCTCACCCCCACATCATTATGAGAAGAAAATAAAGAGAAAATGTTTTTCTTGCATCATTCTCCTCTGTCCCCATGCTCCCCTTACTTTCAATTCTCTGTCTGAGGTGACAGCACTGCTAACCACAAGCACATATACTTTTGCCCTTAAGATTCCTGCCCAGGGGCTGGTGACACAGCTCAGTGCTACAGCCTTCGCCTGGCACGAATGAAGCTCTGTGTTTCAACCCCAGTAACTCTAAAAAATGATTTATACCCAAACAGTCTCATGACAGTTATCATGTCATAAATAAAAACAAAAACATGCTCAAGTACACAACAGAGGGATAACTAAGGGAACCAAGCACGATACACCCACACAGTATCATATTAATTTTTTTAAAGTTTATGGACACATAGGAAAACCATCAGTTAAGAGAAAAAATAGGATACAAAATTATATAGTAAGTAGGACCCCAATTAGAAATAGATACATAAAAAGAAACTTGGTAAAAATTAGTGGATGGTGGTTTATACTTTTTGTTTGTTTGGTTGTTTGAACAGGGTCTATATAGCAAGGATGGCCTTGAACTCTTACCAATCCTCCTGCCTCTGCCTCCCTAGTGCTGGGATTACAGGTGTTTGCCACATACAGTGGTTATTTCTGAGTGGTGGAAATATAGTGATTCTGAGCTTTCTTAATTTTTGATGTTTATGATTCTGAATTTTCTATACAAAATTTTTTATAAAAAACTATAAAATTTTTAAAGTAAATTTAAAATTTAAGCACTGTCAAGTAAAAAAGTTCTTTGTGTTCCCAGAATGAGAAAAAAGAAATCATTCCTAGGAAGAGAACAAAGGGTGCAGAGTGAGGGCAGTCACCTTCCCTGGGGAGGGAAATTGTGGAAATGAGTGGTAACAACTCTATCCACTTCTCATCCTGTAAGCCCTCTTTAGCCACTTCTTGGTTCTTTCTATAGGGAATCAAGGACTATGAGGATGACACAAAATCTAAAGTAGAGCCCTAGGGGTAAACACTATCTTTTCATCATCTCCAGTTCGTTTTCCCCTAGTCTTTTTCTCTGAAATGCATACACAGCTTACTTCAAAGAACAGTTTTCAGTAAAGTGCAGAATTGCTGAAAATAAATACAGTGCTACTCAAAGTGTGATCTCGGTCTGACAACTTCACCAACTCTTAGGAGTTGGTTTGCATGCAAAAATCTCAAGCCCAGCCAGACCCAGAAAGCCAGAATTTCTGCGGGGAGGGACCAGGAGTCCACATTTTAACAAGCTTCCTAAGAGGGTTCTTTTGCATACTAATGCTGACAAGAACATCTATAATTTAGGCAATCTAGATTCTAATTACCTTCACTTTACCTGTTCAGGAAAAAGAAAGCAGGAAAGAATGTCAGAAGCTAGTAAGTAGTGATGTGCTAATGAATGTTTAACGATTGTGGGAAAGGGGAGCCCTGATTCTTAGCATTTCCACCTTGTAAATATGCCTCCAAAATTAAATAATTTTAATTACTCATGTGATGTCATGAACTTGGAGTTAGGGCTGCACTTAGGAGGATTTCAAGAGCTGGTGCTTGCCAGCTTCACACTTACCACATAAGACTCCTGTTGGAGGTGCTACAAAGACTCAGCTATTCGTATAATTCTCTCACTACCTGGGAATGGAAATCTTTGAGCTGCTTAAAGAACAAATAACATTGTCTTGTTAATGTATCTGAGTTGGGGAAGGGCAACGGCAAATTTACTTCCTAAATCCCAGAGAATGGTCAATATTGCATTTCTCACAAAGTTCTCAACTCACTGGAAATCAAATTGTGAAATATAAGCCCAGTTCAGTTTGTTTTGTTCTGTGACACTGAAAGTTTTTCATTATATTAAAAATTCAAAAGCAAGAAAACTTATGAGGGTTTGCAAATACCTTGCTGATACCAAGCTATCTGCCAAGGTGCTGTCTAAATCTGCTAAAGCAGAAACTGAAATGTCTCATGAAACTTCTCATCTGAAAAGATGATGAAGGATACCCTAGAAAAGACCTCCCACTTGTGTTTTCAAATGATATTTATTACCTCCTGCATGTCAATATCGCCATGCCTCCTCTAATAGAAAAAAATTCTCTTCCAATTCAGGTAAACGTCTTTACATCTTTAATATTTATTTTATAAATGAATGATATCGAACAGGTTCTCAATTTTCAATTGTGTACTATGACTTTTCTCAGCAACTTGAAGTATATGGCACAAATTAGGTCACACTCACATTATCACCATCACTTTCGGGACCTTCAACAGGCTTTTTTATCTCTGTAAGACTCTGTTTCAAATGAAATTATAGGAGAATCTACTTCAGAATTACTGCAAGATTTTAAAAGATAATGCAAGCAACATGCTTTCTAGTACATAACGGTCATTAGTATTAAGGGCAGTAGTTGGTACTTCTGAGCCAAGTTTTATTTTTCTCAACTTTTCTCCATTTATCAAACATGATGAAGTTCAAGTCAACTTTTTTCTTAATTGTAGTGTCATCTCATATACTTGAAGGTGGAGAAAAATCAACTTGTTCAACACATATTTTCTGTGGAATGTGAAAGAAAGGTGTACAAAGATAGACAATTCCATCTCAGAAAGAAGAAAAAGAACACACAGACTGCTGTGTACGAAGCAAATAAGCAGTAAGTAAAAAATACTGGATGCTAAATGAAATGGAATCCAATTTCAGTAAGTACAGTATATGTTCATCCTGTGACTCTCTCTAATACTTCAACACTCACTTTGTTTAGTACGTATATAAAAGGGAACTTACCCACTAAATTCTCTTTATCTGGCTTCTCGGGTGAAGACACTCCAGAATCCATTGCATTCTCAAGAAGGTTTTATACCTGGTAGATTTTCATGGGTTTCCGACCAAGCCTGGGCCACACACAGCAATCCAGATGGGCTTGGGAGAGGGGAACATAGGGAGGCTTGGCGGAGGGCGGGAAGTTCCTGCTGCTCAGCCAACACCCTGAGGAGCAGTCACCCTGGTGAAGGAAGTGTGGTAGTGTAAACAAAAGCATTTCTTTCAAGAGTTCACACTGTCTTTGATTACAGAGAAAATTCAAAAGACCTCATAAAATTGCTGCTTATAAAATATCACAATGTAATTTTCTGTACCATTTATATATTATAAAACATTTCTATGTATCTTGTATGATGTTTTCACCACAATCAAGTGTCTGCTATATAAAATAAATACTTCCATTCCTATCTTCTATAAAAGGAAATTTAATCTAATTGATTCATTACACACTAGTGAAAGATCCTTTAAAACTCCAATATAATCATGTCATTATCCTGTTTAAAATAATCCACAATAACCAATTATTAATATGGTACACTAAACTTTTTAGTGTTCTACAGGACCCTACACGTCTGCCCCTCCTTCCTTTTCCAGACTCATTTACATGACTCTCCTCTCATGCATTCTATCAGTCCTTCTAGCTCTTTATGAGTAGTCTTGCCACAGGGCCTTTGCACATGATATCTCATATATAAATATTTGGCTTATATCTCTTTCTTCCTTCAGATCAGCAATTGACAAACTACAGCTTACCAGCCAAATTTGGTCTACCACATGTTTCTGTTTGTTTTTGAAGTACACTGTTGTAGGACACAGACATGTCCCATTTGTTTCTCTAGCCATTTTTGCACTATACCCACAGAGTTGAAAAGTTGAGACAGGGACCACATGGAATATAGAATATTGAATATTGATTGTCCCTTCCTTAAGCTATAGATTTCAGTCAGGGGAGAAAGTCTGCCTGGTATTATCTCCCATTACATCCACAGCATTTACAGCAATACAGGAGCATAGCTGATATTCAACAAATGAATGAAAGAGTAATTTGCTGATGATAATTTTTCATAACTGGCACTTCTGTTTCTTGAGTCCAGAACCTCACCTCCTGGTCCAGGATTCCTTCTTCTCATTACACTGCCTGGAATCAAAGACCATTATGAGCAAATTCCAATACTGAAACAGCAGTTGCCTAATTTCCTGATTTTTATCTCCCTCATATCAATATCCCAAGTATTTTTTTCTTATATTTGCCTAATTTCCTGATTTTTATCTCCCTCATATCAATATCCCAAGTATTTTGTTTTCTTATGTGTGAAAGCGAGATAATACAAAATAAAGTTGGATTTTTCTCCGGTCATCTTGTCTTTTCTGTATTATCTTTTTTTGATTTTTTATCAACCATCTTGTTATTTTGCTCCTAGCAACATCATCTTAAAAATTTTCTAGATTTCCAGGTTACTTTTGCCAACTATTTAATAATGTTAGTTGTCTTCTACACATACTCAAATTGCAGTAATAACCGTGGCTGCCACTGCAGTCTGTAATTACAAAAATTAATAGGGAATTTCAGAACTTTAGGAGAGGAGACGGGACCAGAAACACAGGATTAAAGCAAATGCTCACACATAATCGATGTCTATCTGCTTTTGTTCTTTTGACTTTTCTCTACATTTCCCATGAGTGAGTGTGTGTGTGTGTGTGTGTGTGTGTGTGTGTGTGTGTGTGGTACTGGAGACTAAACACCAAGGCCTTTGCACTGAGCTTCACTTCTGTCCTCCCCCTTGGGTATTTCTTCTGCTTTTGACACACGGTCTCACTAAATCACTAAGGCTCATAGATGAACTCAAACTTGCCCTCCTCTAGCTTCAACCTCCCAGAGTTCTGAAATTACAGGCATGCGCCTCCACCCACCCTAGCACTGCATTTTCCTTCCACATTCTTGGCTATGGCCCAGTGTGGAAATGACACCTGACTCCATAGCAGGCTTTGCGCTCCCGCTGCCCAGCTCCACCATGACTTAGCTGTGTAATCTCGGGTAAATTATGTATTTCATTTTTCTCACCTGAACAATGGGGATGCAGCACTAGGATTGACCAGAGTTGTCTCTGTGAAAAATCATGATCTATGACATGTAAAACACCCAGAATAACGACTGACGTAGAAGTATGGTAACTACCATTCCCATGAGCGGGAGCTGAACTGCATACATGTATCTCAGGACTCAGTTAACCTCTCTCTAAAATGGAAATACTGGGTTAGTTTTCACAAGGCCTCCCTTTTACCTTGATTTCTAGTGAACGTGCGGTTGATTGCTGATTGACTGGGTGTGTCAAATACTTTCATCACCTCTCTTTGCACCTTCGCCCAGTTCTACACGTCAGCTACAACTCTGAAAACTCGAGGCCCTCTCCTTCTTCTGTACTGTCAATACGTAAGCTCCATTCTGTTTCTTCTTGGTCCCTACTTTACCACCACGTCATCACCACTTTGTAACTAACAGGAAATTACCTGTTTCCGTCATTTCTCACGTCTAGGGCATACTAAGTTCTCCTGGAACACAAAGATCCTTTCCCTTTGAATTCCATGCCCCTTCCCCCACCCTACCGCATACATGCAGCAAAGGCTGAAATTTAGCTCATTTTAAAACATAGTTCCACTTAATATTGGCCAGATTCCATCTAGCACTGCCCCTCACTGAGGTGCAAGACTCAAAACAACACAAACAGTAATTGTTCCCTGGAGGCAGCTGGATAGAGTCTCAGGGGGACTTGCTGCATACATCCACTTGGGATATGACTAAGCAACTGTTTTTCTTCTTCCTGCAAAATGTTCCAAATGTCTCCGCCTGGAAAGCAAGAGTGGTTTCAACAAATAATGAGCACTTACAACAAGCTGAGTTCCTACAGTGGGGCTGGGGAAATAAAACATGAGCCCATTTTCAAGTTTCCTCCTCCTTCGTTCAGTATCACTGAGTAGGCCTCACATGATGCACCGTCAGTGGACTCTTCCCCCTTCGTCATGGTGGGTAAAGATGGCGGGATGCTGGGAGGTGCACCCAGTGATGTCTACACTTTCATTCTGTCAGTTGCTGCACTGAGGTCCTAAAACGGGTCAGCTGTTTTCAGACGTCCCACTGGTAGTCCCACTCCTAACATACAGGGCATTCCTTTTTCAGTGTGTATTTTCTCTGAATGATCAGACTAGAGCAATATCCTTGCCTGAAATAATCTGTTCTAGCCATGAACCTTTCTCCTTTTCTAAATTGTTTCAGGAACATGCTTTGGCTGGGTATAATCCAACATGATTTCTCCCTAGAGTGCATGCCTATGTTTTAGGACATTTGCTACCCAAAACACCTCCCTTCCATCTTCGTTCCTTTCTTTCTCTTTTCCTTTTTCTTCTTTTGTGTGTTCCATTCTTTTTTAAAAACTGGTTATTCAGATTAATGGGTTGTGTTAAGGCAGGGTCATACATACACATAGCCTTTGATCATTTTCATCTCCCATCAACCCTTGCGCCAGCCTCCCCTTTTCACATAGGAAGTTCAGTATGTATATGTTCATGTTCATCCTTCCTTACATCCTTTCCCCTCCTCTTAATCCTTCTCTTTTGTCTAATAATAGTCCCCTTCTACTTTTTCATCTTTTTTTTAGATCCCAAATATTACGGAGGATAGGCAATGTTTGTCTAAGTCTGGCTTTTTTCACCTAGCATGATGGTCTCTAGATCCATCCATTTTCTTGCAATGTAATTTCATTCTTCCTCATGGCTGTATAATATTCTTATATAT